CTCCAAATAAAAACTACTATCCGTTGGAAGCGGATAAAGCTACAGGACACAATACCGTTAGCTTAGGCGGCCCAATCTTATGCAGGTTATTGTTTGTATACATCATCTTTGACTTCACTCAACACCCTGCATCATCCGTATCACTACTTTGCGGCCTGAAGTGCTGCTATGTATTTCTATCGCTAAAGCATGCAAAACATGTAACAAAATGATTTTGAAATACTGCAGGGACCAGATTGAGGAATGGTCTGCGGCTGAGGCAAATCTTTTCGAGGATGCTCTCGAAAAATACGGAAAAGATTTTTCGGATGTACGAGTCGATTTTGTAAGTTTTTTTCGAAGAAAAATTAACGTTTTAATAGTAGAGTACTTGAATTCTAGCTTCCTTGGAAATCTCCTCGTGACATAGTTGAGTATTATTACATGTGGAAGACTACAAATCGATATGTCGAGCAGAAGAAGAAGAAGAATGCAGAGCACGAGAGCAAGCTCAAGCAGGTAGCTTAGTGTCTTACTTATCAAGGGCATTCATATTTTATACAAGTTTAGGTTTACATTCCGAATCACTCTAAAACGGCTGGAACAGCGGTAAAAGGAACTGAACCATGTGAAGGTTGCAAGGTCAGTCCTAGCAGTTATATCTAGGCAAAACATGTCGTAAGGGATAAACGTTGCAAATGTAATATTTGTATAGAACGTAAGATATCTTGATCATCGTTAGTGTAATGGATTTAAAGCTAAATACAATGTAACGAAATGTATTACAATTTTTGTCGTGTAGAGGACGTGATCAAAGAATTTTTGAGACATGTCGATTGTAAGTACTGTTCTTGAAATCCTTTTGAAACGGTGATCGGCGTAAAAGCTTCGAATTGTAAGTGATCGTCAAAGTTTTCCTTTACCGTATCTTTTAGCTTTCTCATCCAAATCTAATATGATGTCCAATTTAGATCACGGAAAGCAGTGCTTGGCATGCTTGGGGACCGACTAATTTGCAGTTACGACTTTGCCAAGACTGCTGGTGGTATTGGAAAAAATATGGTGGCCTGAAGGAACGCCATCAACATGGTTAGTTGTTTTTTGTTCCCCTTAGATATTGGCAGTGTATTTCTGCATAGTGTTGTTCCAACGCCTGCGTCCGCTAGTAAATTTCCTATTTTCCCCTTATGTGTTCGACCAAAACATGCTGAGAAGTAAGCGTTGTACCCCATTGCTGTTCAACTGTGTTGCATTTGCTCGTGAAAATAGTATAATCTCGCTATACAATCGTCTCGTGAAGAAGGTTCTTACAGCTATAGGTTCTATACTGCTTAATCTCGCCGTGGATCCCTCGTGTTCCATCAGCTAAGTAGCTCCCAGTCTATGCTGGATTTTTA